ATCAGCGGCTGAAAGAGTAGCGGCTGAGACAGATTAGTGGCTGAGAGATCAGCGGCTCTGATACCATGAAAGTAAAATTGATTGAGGCGGAATAATATATTTTATTCTCAGACTGCCAGTTTAAATAGAATACACCACAACAACTAATTCCTAAAAATTAGGATCTAAGCTAAAACTATGCTAACAACTCTGACTAAGTACAATAGTTATCTAATTACAATTAAATAGATATGTACGGATAAATTTAAATATCTAACAGATTATATGAAGTTTAATAAAATTATAATATGAACTGATAATAAGAAGATATATATATAGTTATAGACTGCATATAAAGTTTAGAAGATACAAGAAGCAAAGAGAGCTATAAAGTGTAGAATATATAAGAAGCAAAGAGAACTATAAATTATAGAATATATAAGAAGCAAAGAGAAATATACTCCCTCCGTCCCTGAATGTTCTTCCGATTGCGGATTACGAAGGTTGACCGACGATAAAGTTAAATGATCCCTGTGAAAATTCGGATTATTTTTAGTAAATAAAATTTACATATTCAGAAACTACATTAAACCCGCTACAAAGCCTGCACAAAAAAAATCAATTTTCATAAAGTTTTGATACAAAAAGTAAGAGTTTAAGAGTGATTTAAGTTGACTCTCGAAAAGCGAAAAGGAAGTAAATTTAGGGACAGAGGGAGTAATATGTTTGAGTTGTATAAAATATATAAGAATAAAAGAGAACTATAGAAGTAAAGGATGAAGATAGACTGAAAGAATAAAAAAGAAAGGATCAATGAAGATGACAAAATAAATGAAAACTATAATCTGAAAAAGAAAAATGAAAGAACATGGGAAGATGATGAAAAGAAAGACACCTTATGGGTTTCTGACTTCTGTGGGTTGATCATTGAATGTTGTTTCAGCACTGAACTAGTTGCACGAGTAGAACATAGCAGAGTAACGATGAAGTCACGCTATAGAAGTTATTTTACCGTGACTTAGAAGTTAGAAGGGCTTAACATGGGTTTAAGTTATTTTGACCTGTTATTTGATTGGGCTAAATCTTATTATAAGTATGGGCTTGTTATTTAAAGTAGGACCAAACAAATAAATAGGCTGCTACTCCTTTCCCAGGCCAGACGACTGAAGCGTGCGCTTTTTTGCGCTTAAGGCCTTCACCGCTTCTGTGCTTATTGCGCCTCACTTGCGCTTCACTCAGTTGGCTGCGCCTGGGACTCTAACAGTCGCTGACTCTCATATGCGCCTCGCCTTGTGCGCTTAAGTGCTCAGGCGCGCGCTTTTGACTACCCTGCATGTGACCGAGCCGACAGTGCCACAAATTCACATCGTTTGTTGCAGCGGCAACAACATCGATGCAATCCTTTGAGTTCGTTGTCATGTACAACGTACCCTCCTTCCTTTTAGTAACCAGCAAGGCTCCCTTGGTGATCTTCCAATTTCTGCTGCCGAATGTAACTGCATAACCTTCCTCATCCAGCTGCCCAATTGAAAGAAGATTCCTCCTCAAACCAGGAATGTGTCGGACACTATTTAGTTTTAGCATGCATCCGTTCAGAGTCTTCACGTGGACTGTCCCCTTCCCAACAATTTTAAGAGGCTCATCATCAGCAAGATACACCTCTCCAAAATTGCCGAGAGTATACTGTTCCATCACTTCAGAGTTACCACATGAATGGAACGAGGCTCCAGAATCCAGAACCCATGACTCCAACGGACTGCTCACGCTCAGAATCAAGAGATCGTCACCCGATGATTCTGCCGCTGCATTGGCAGATGTCTTCTCCTTCTGATCCTTGATCTGCTCCTTGCACTGGTTCTTGAAGTGTCCGTACTCCTCACAATTTCAGCACTTGATCTGACTTCTGTCCTTCTTGCCCTTGCTGTTTGACTTGGATTTGGATCTTGATCTATCCCGATTTGACTTTGACTTTGACTTCGTGCTGCCCCGGTTCTCTGTACTCAACGCCGATCCTGAAGCCAAACCTGATTCCTTCCTGCGAATTTCTTCGCTGACCACCAGATTTCTGACTTCATCGAATTTCAGTTTCTCCTTCCCTGCCGAAGCGCTGACTGCAGTCACCGTTCCGTTCCAGCTTTCCGGGAGAGAAGACAGCAGAATTAGGGCATGAATTTCGTCGTCGAACTTGATCTCAACCGCGCTCAATTGTGTGGTGATTAAAATGAACTCGTTGAGATGCTCCACAACTCCCGTGGTTTCTGACATCTTAAGGTTAAAAAAACGCCTCATGAGATGTACCTTGTTCGCAGCAGAAGGTTTCTCATACATATCCGTTAATATTTGCTACATCTCCTTCGTCGTTTTTGCTTTGACGGTATGTAGGGCGATATTTCTGGATAGCGACAATCGCACCACGCTCATCGCTTTCCTGTCCAGCAACTTCCAATCGCTCTCCTTCATGTCTTCTGACTTATCCTCCAGAGGTTGATACAGATCTTTACCGTACAGGTAATCTTCGATCTGCAGCTTCCAGAAGCCGAAATCAGTCCCATCAAACTGCATCAACGGTGTCTTCAAATCTGCCATCGTGTTGAACTCTCCCTTCGAAGCTAGGGCTCTTGATACAAGTGTTAGGAATTTAACTCACAAACACGAATAACAATTGAAGAACACACGAAATTTGGTAACCCAGTTTGCCACAGAGGACTTCGTCTGGGGGCGCTACCAAGCCAGGAATGTTATTAATATTTTCTGGATACAGATTACAAGAGAGGAGAGTGGTATTTATAGAGATGCATTGTCTTGTTCCCAAAGCAACATAACCCCTAATTAAATTAGGATGTGTTTCTAAAAATAAATTAAGAAACGTCTTTCCAAGAATAAATTAAGAAACTGTCTCTAACACCTTACAAATATGATGGTCAATACTGGGATTGGATTGATGGTCATTGCTGGGAATGTGATTATTAGAACTGGGAGTATGATGGTCATTGCTTGAAGTGTCAGTCTGAGGTGAGGAAGAAAAGGCAGAATTTGAAGTATTGACAGATGAAGTTGTAGTAGGGTTGAGAATAGTGAGAGGGGCATATGGGGTTACTGGGACAGTTGAAGTTTTAGGAGGTGTAGAAGGAAAGAGTGTAAGATATGGAAATTTTGTTTCATTAAAGACAACATCCTTGGAGATATAGATTTTTCCACAGGGTGAAAGACATTTATAGCCTTTATGATTTGAGGAATACCCTAAAAATATGCACTCCTTGGAGTGGCAGTCAAATTTATGCTTATTGTAGGGTCGAATGAAAGGGTAACAAGCAGACCCAAAAACCTTAAGAAAGGAGTAATCAGGGACAGTGCCATATAGTTTGAAGAAGGGGTTGAGATTTGAAATGGCTTTTGAAGGTAGTCTGTTAACAAGATGGACAGCTGTAGCAAAAGCAGTGTCCCAGAACTTGAAGGGTAAAGATGAGTGGGCTAAAAGACATAAACCTTTTTAACTCGATATTTATTGATACACACACACTGTTTCCTGGGTGGCGTGGGTACCAGTGTCTATCAGTGTGATTAGACTATTATTAGATAGTCTCTGCAATCTCAGTACTTAGTTAAACTCCCAATGCATCTTATAGTCAACTTTTTAACTCGAGATTGGATCCTCTACTTCGCGAGGGTCACCGTTGGATCATATTCTAACCATATGCTTTGTACAGAACTAACGAGCAAAAGAGTCTAGGAACCTTTCAACCATCTGATTAAGAATCTTAGGACCCAGGCTAATCCACTGGATCCGATCACAGCCAAGTCGAGTGCTTGGCCTTTGGAGCAACCAGTGTAACTGTATCCTACTATCTTTTTTTCCTGATCCTGCAGGATTTGAGCCCCTACAACTACTACACTTTAGTTGGTAATAGTTACCACTTACCACAATCCTCTGCCGAATGGATGCCAATAAAATTGTTAAAAGGATTACCCAAAGCCCATTTGGCTGATCAATCATATTTTCCAGAAAGCGGTGAAAGGCACAATGCATTGGCACCCCCCACTCACCTCTTTAAGAATATTGATGCTCCATTACCTGTGTTAGTCTTCTACAAGTTGTAACGTCTCCAAGAGAAACACAAGGTCATTTGATAGGGCTAAATTTGCAAGCATATAAGTGTCTATTGTAGTAATAGATACCGGTAAAATACTGAGTCGATCTGCATGTGATCCGGGACAGTTGTCTCATGAATCATCAATCGTAAAACCCGGTTTCGTGCATACATAGCACATGATCCCTCCATGGACAACCATCCAATCCAATCAAATGAGCAAATCTGGTTTGAATATTTGGTTTCCAAGATATGCTGCCATGGTGAGCTGCCTCCCTTAACTGGTAGATATGGCAACACCACAAAGTGAACCAAAAAGTTCATGCCTCCAATACAAGGACTCTGTGATATCATTGTTTCCAGAGCTCGTCATGAAGCACATACAATGCTTTGATAATTCCCATATGGTGATCCGGGTATATATATTTATCATGGATGAGAACATTGACTTGACGCTTTTATTTTTTCTTCTGCATTAATTATCTCTCAAACCATGTCCCTGCCCCTCCATTTTAGGCTTCATGATAGTTTCACAGATGATAATGTGGCATGCACGCCTCTCTTTAGCCCCTCCCCATATGAATAATCTCCTGATAATCTTCAGTATTACCACGGCCCAATTGGCAATAACCGAATCTGCTTGGTGAAATAAGTTGTATCGCATTCAAAACGGATTGAGCTTATCACCATACAACCTGCAAATGAGAGTTGTTTAATTTTCCAATCATCACTATAAGAGTTTGTTAAACGATTAACAGCAGAGGACTGCAATTACAAAATGATACACATTTGAGGGAGCACATGTACAACACTAAAAGACAGACTACATTTCAATATCCAAAAATAATGAAGCTCTAAAAGTGTGATTTCCTCTATATATGTAAACCCATCAATTCATAAAAGTAGCCATTCCATGAAGGATATACTCTGCAGGTACTTAGACTGGATGCTATGGATAAAAACCGACATTGGAGAATTATGGGGTGTAGTGCGTACACTGGAGAAGGGCTTCTGGAGGGTTTTGATTGGCTGGTGCAGGATGTTGCCTCTCGCATCTATATGCTTGACTAAGTACTAACATGTCAATTTCTCTGTTAGTAGTATTTGGTTTGATTTGCTAGTAGCTTCCATCTAGATATATGTGGCAACTTGGTTACTTAATGGCATTTTCTTGTGCACTCTCTCATTCACACATTTGACACTAATAATTGTGTGGATCCAGACGGTCTCGGATGCATGTGGGTATGTATTACTTGTGCTGTACATGTAGCACACAAGATTTCACTTCTTTCATTAAGATGTTTTCATTAATCTTCAGCACTTTTTTATTGTTCATTTTTTAGTATGGGAATTTGACCCGTATACTATGTTTAATTAACCAGACCGGGCCGGCCAGGTCTGCCAGGAAATTTGTGAACCGACCACTTACCCAATTCGGTTACATATTGACCCGCAAATGTAATGAAAACCAGAAAAACCCGACTGCTTGCTTGGACCCGGGTGCAACTTGCACCCGTGCAAACCCGGAAGAATCAGATGTAAGCCAAATGCAAAATTTTGTATTCACGGGGGATCGAACCCTGGTTAGCCGAGATAAATTCCAACATGCACTCCAAATGACCGCTGACCCTTGTGATTTAGGGTGACTTAGCTTTAAATATATCTATCTGATAAGTTTATAGAATATCCATCTGATAAGTTAAAATGCTACAAATAAGTATTAATGAATACATAATAAATATAATAATAACATTGTTTCTATTATTATACTATCCCATTATACGTATCTCAAATACATAAGTTAAAATACTCGCAAAATACTTTTAACATTTTATAAGAAGTGTTATTTTTAAATTTATTTAAACACAGTATGTTATAAAAGGAAAATCAAATGTAAATATTTTATAAATGTACAAAATAAATTATTGATTCATATAGGCCTAAAACCATATTTTTGAATGCGAGAATATCTTTGAATATTAAAGGGAAAACTACCAAATAGGTCCTCGTACTTTTTAAGAAAAGTCAATTGAGTCCTACAACTTAAAGCTTCAACGCAGTCCCCAAAGTGCTAAAAAAATGATTAATTCGGCTTGTTAATTGGGAATGAGCCGGTTTTGCCTGTTAAATGCTGATGTGACTGCCAACATGGAAAATTTTAATTTTTTTTTAAATAATCATTTATTTCCTACCAAGTCTAATGCTTCTCTTATCCCGTTGACAAATTGATGAAGAACCCTAATTAGACGTCATCCGCATCTTCAAACGCGAAGTCACCTGCATCTTCTTCAAACGCCAGGTCATCTGCATCTTCTTCAAATGCGATGTCATCTGCATCTTCTTCAAACGCGAGTAAAGGATGAAGCTTTCGACTTGATTACGAGCCTTCGTTGTACTGTTACTGCGGATTGAAAGCTCCACTCTGTGTAGGATGGGAGAGTGGGAGAATGTTCTATGGGTGCCAGAATTGGAAGGTAATAATTATTAGTTGTTCAAATAGGTATAATTAATTGTCTATAATTGTTGGAATTTATTAAATTTGGTCTGCAAAGAAGAAGTTTAAGAATTTTTAATATTTTTACATTGAATTTCAGATTAGGGCGTGTGGTTACTTTTTGTGGAAAGATGGATTGCAAACCCCTGTAGCAGTGAATGGTGAAAAGAGGAACGAAAATACAGATGAAGTAAAGGCCATGATCTCAAGACTAGCTGACCAGCTAAGTTCTATGCAAGGACAAATTGAAGGTCTGAGAAGGGTGATTGATAGTGAAGAAAAGGATCTTGATGGTCTCAGAAGGGTCATTGAGAGTGAAGCAAAGGAAGCAAAATTGTTTAGGATGTTATTTGGGTTTGCTGCAATTTCCGTCATCTATTCGTCAGCACAACTTTGAACGAAAAAGGACAAAATTCTAGTTTGCAGACTTCATTGTTTCTGTCAAGGAGACGGATCTGATCGGAGGTTATTCGAAAAAAAGACGGAAACATTTCGTCAAAAAAGTTGATCAACATGTCACGATGCGATAAGTCAAGGTGCGAAGAGTACTTTCAAATTTTCGACAAGTTGTTGCTGAATATATCGACATGTGTATCATTCGCCTCAACTTCTCGAAAAGGGGGCAATTGTTGGTACACGAGTTTGACAGCTTGGACTACATTCAAAAAGGGTTGACCATGACAATTAATGACACATTTATTATGATTAATGCTAGCTAATTAATCTGAGCGGTTTTATGTATATAATTAGAGTAATTATTGTAATTAAGGCATATGTTACTCAAAGGGCTGACCAGAATTGATGATGCCATAATGACGATTTTGATGTCGTTGTAACGGTCGGAACATGTCGTCGTAACGATCGGAACATGTCGTCAACGGGTAAAATATCATTAAATGCCTCTCTTATAAATTGTTACATGCTCTATGTAATCAGGGGACACCCCATTCGTATTACACATCAGATCACACTTTATTTTGCTCTCTTAGCATCTTTCTTGTTGTTCTTGTCATCTTCTTCTTTACCGTTCTTGTACGAAACCCAATCAATATACAATTTCTATTTTAATTAGTTTTAGCTTGTCAAAGTTTTGCTAAAACACCATCCAATCCTATAACCTTCCTACAGCCCTCCAAAAAACCATGTTTAACTGCACCAAAGCACACATAGATTCTTTGGAAAACTGCAGGTGCTTCTGGGACCACCCTTACTATATGGATGACCACAGTTGAATCAGGAATGGATCTCAAGCATTCCTCTACACAATTTCTCAATTTCTTGAACTGATCTTTGAAATCTATTTGGGTTTTCTGATGTATTATTCTCAAAGCTCTTGTGGCCATACTAGTAGACACATGTATATTCATGTTAACTTTAATCAGTTTCTTCAAGTCAACTGCACCAAGTGTAGGATTTTCTATTACCTTATCTTCAAAAGTCTCAGCTAGCCACTTCTGACTCACAATTTTTAACTTAAACTTGTTATTGCATTTATGCTCAGTATTTAGCACCTTCACTTGGAAACACTTCAGCCTATCTACCCAACTGACAGTACAAGTGAAGGGGCAAGTAAGGGCACATGTAACTCTGACTCTTACAACATCATTTTTAAGAAAAGAAATATCCCTTTTTTTGAACACAACATATTTAATTATAGCATTCTTGAATTGGGTAGAATCTTCAAACAACATTTCTAATTCAATATTAGGGGGCTTTGAGTCTGGATTATATGAAGGATACCTTTTCTTAGTTGACTCTACAGATTGGTCATCATCTACCTCTTCCTCATTAGTGTAGCTTGGAGGATTGGAAGAATCATACTCCACACTGTCTTCTTCCCCATCATCATTGCTGCCTCTACTATCTTCTTTACCATAACTGCCCACTACACCTTCAGAGTTGTGGGAATGATTTTCTGTTTCTCTGTCAACAGCCTGAACATCCACAACCATAAGGGATTCTTCCTCTGATGACAAACCCTCAAGGTTGCCTTCATTTTCAGTTTCAAAATTGACATCATTTTCCACATCCATGGGGGTTTCTTCATCTGATGTCAAACCTTGAAGGTTAGCTTCTTTTTCAGCCTCACAATGATCATGAACATGCACATCCACAAGGGTTTCTTTCTGTGATGTCCAAGCATGAGTATTACCTTCTATGTCAGCATTGCCTTGCACCCCTATCTGAACTTCAACTTCATCCAATTCAGCTTCAATATCCTCCTGTACTTGACAATTTGTTTCTTGAGTTGCTCCACATAGATGCCACACTTTCCACAACTACAAGCTAGTTCAATGAGATGTAGTGTTGTTTCATCATTGAACAGTTCCAGAAGCATGTCCATTGGTTCACTTGGTCATTTGTAGTACAACCTTTGAATATTGCCATAACTTCCACTTCGTAGAGACTTCATCAAATGAGGGAACGAAATCAAATCAGGATCGATTTCAATAGATTCTACTTCACCCCCTACGTACCTGGTTTTGGGAACATAGACAAAGTTCCCTCCATGATGAATTATGAGTTCCACCTTATCAAACATTCTTCACCGTACTGAGCAGTGAATGTCGTTCGCTTGTAGCTTCACTGATAACTGGGAAACACTTCCGATTTACCAAGCCATGGATCGCACCTTTCACTGCATTCCCAAACGTCGAACATTCACAACGACATTAGAAAACATATCGGAGGTTAGGGTTTATGTGATAAATTTGTCAACGGGATAAGAGAGGCATTAGACTTAGTAGGAAATAAATGATTATTTAAAAAAATTAAAATTTTCCATGTTGGCAACCACATAAGCATTTAACAGGCAAAACCGGCTCATTCCCGGTTAACAAGCTGAATTGATCATTTTTTAGCACTTTGGGGACTGCGTTGAAGCTTTAAGTTGTAGAAGGACTCAATTGACTTTTCTTAAAAAGTACGAGGGCCTATTTGGTAGTTTTCCTAATATTAAACATTCACAAATACTTAAGAATTCTTATATGATACTATGTTGAAATATTTGAATATTTTAAGACTAAAACAAATATCATATAATATTTTTGAATATATCAAAATTTATGACTAATTATTATTATATTGTAATGAAGAATAAATATTTTATATTTTAAAATATTTTGGTAATAATATTAATATATGTTTTCCATTTCACAAATTTATACGCCCTCTATTTTTTTTAATTGCAACACTTACCTTTTTTTGGAAGTTTCAATATAATTGCAACACTTCCTTTTTTGGTAATTAGAATTAGCTAAAATGACTACAATACCCTCACATTCATTTAATGTTCTCCGTATTTCTTAATTATAAACTCAAGTCTTCCATCCTGATTGGCTCACCGTCTCACCCTACCCACATTACAGAGTTATTTTCAACCACTCTTCCTAGACCCCTTCTTCCCAGGCCACCGGTGGGAGAGAAAAGAAGACAGAAGGGTTCGCCGCCCATACACGTCGTGACCGTTTTACAAACTCAACCGCCGCAAAATTGTCATCACCACTGACGCTCTTAAGGTATTCAATGTCTCCGCACCAACGTCGGCTAGATTACAATTTCTGGATTCGGAGCTCTCATCACTGTTGAGCTGTCGACTTCAAAGTCTTTATGTCCTCTTGCTATAGATATTCCATCTCGTTCCTTGGGGTCGTCTGCATTTGATGGCTCACACACTTTGTTTTTCGACGATTATATAGCATCAACATAGATAATGTTCGGTGGTTGCTGGACTTGCTGCTTTCACCTCAATTTACAGATATTGAGAGAATAGGGAATCAAGATACACTGAGATACGAGTCATATTAAAATGCGAAGAAGATGAGCAATAGGCCAATAGGT